TAGCTTTCGGTCGGTAGCCAGGCGGTTCGACGTGGGTGCTTTGCTCACTCACTCGAATTGACACTGCCGTGTTGGTCGGTGTTTCAAGCCCCAGTCTAAACGATATATTTTCACTTGCTATTGTCCAACCCGTGTTAGGAATCACACGTTAAAAGATATGACCTCGTTAATCCTTAGTTCGCACAAGTTTCGACTTCTGAGGGTTGTCGTTTGTAAGGGTGCAACAGCTGGTTAACGGAAAAACAGATTTTAAACAGATTTTTTTCATTGCTGAGCATTTAAGATGCCCAAGTGATAATTTGCCTTATAATAATTATGACCAGTAAACTTCTGTTGAGAATTGAATCAAAAGTATTCAGAATTAGACAAGTGATTCATCTGTCACTCACAGGTTTTTTAAATAAAATTACTTTGAAAATATTTCATCGAAGAGAAAGATGGTAGATATTGAATGTATCTTCCAATGTTTATTATTAGTGGAGACATTTGTTTTCAAAATAAATATTTTTCCTTAAATTCAAATAAAAATGAAAAAATCAGCACAAAATAATTGTCTGTCCAGGATCGCCTATACAGGGTGAAGCATTTGTGAAGCATTTTTCCAACTTTATCAATATAGAAATAATGACATATTGAGATACGAGTTATACTATATATCTACATTCCTCTTACCTATTGCACCAAAGAAATCAGTTTCGCAGATATCAGTTTTATCAGATTGTGATGTGCGTTTTCGTAATTCTCTTCTCGCATGATATACAAGCGCTCTGAGATCTTCATAGAAAAAACCGTGGGTTTTGTTAGCAATTTCTGACAACATGATATCCGTGTTCAAACGTTCCTCTTCCAAAATCCATCTGAGATTATGTTCTCGTTGCAATTCTGACGGGGCACCGATCTCAAATGTTTCCAAAAATAGTTTTCGCAAATTAGTGGGAATATCCTTCTGGTTGCTACAGCAAAATAGGAAAACAGGAAAGATATTATTTTCGAAGAGGAATTTCAATTCGTCAGAGAAGTTTCCCATTATACGTTCGTCATATTGCCCTTCACTGTTCTTCCCAAAACTCTATGATAAAAAATATATAAAATTTCATTAATTCATTCATGAACGTGAATGTTCAAATTTCACGGGCTCCTTATATCGATTAGGTAGCGATTTTTTTATGTTGGTACACTCGCCTCAAACACATGTCTACTGTTTCAGCTAGCATGTTTAGTTTGTTGAAGGGAGGCATACAAGTTAGAAGTGTTCTGCCATTGGAAAAAATGGATCAAAGAATTCAAAGAAAATTTTGTGTAAAAAAATGAAATGAAGTGATCAAAAACACTCGAAATGTTGACAGTGGCATAAGGTGATTGTACTCTTAATCAAATAAATGTTTACAAGTGGTACAAGCTTTTCACAGAAGGTCGAGAAGATATGAATGACAACGGTCGCTCTGGACACCTCAGCAGATCAACAAGCTATGAAAATGTTGAGAAAGTGAAGAAAATTGTTATGGAGAATCATCGGATCACTATTAGAGAAGTTGCTGAAGATGTCGGCATGCATCGGTTGACTCATGCCGTGCAATTTTTTCGGAAATTCTGGGCGTGAAGAGTTCGTTCCAAAATGGTGTCAAAGTCCAATCGTCCCAATGAAAGAGCCCAGAGCCCAAAACGGCACGCCAAGTTCAATCAAATGTCAATGCTTGTTCGTAATTTTTCGACCAAAAACAACAACCAATAGTCAGCATTGAAGAGATTCATGAAGAACTGCGTTTTACGACGATTGAGGAGATGAAAACCGAATAGCTGAAAGAGTTCAAGGACATACCAAAAGTGCATATCAGAACTGCTTCGAGGATTGGAAAAAATGCTGTATTATATCTGATGGAAACTACTCTGAAGGAAAAATACAGAAATTGATAAATAAGTAAATATTGTTTTAGAAAAATGAATATCCATCTTTTTTTTTATCAGACTGCGTATAAGTCTGGTCTAATAATTAAATCGTAGAACTTCAGAATGTACTGTTGAATAGAATTCAAAGAAAATTTTGTGTAAAAAAATGAAATGAAGTGCTCAAAAACACTTGAAATGTTGACAGTGGCATAAGGTGATTGTACTCTTAATCAAATAAATGTTTACAAGTGGTACAAGCTTTTCATAGAAGGTCGAGAAGATATGAATGACAACGGTCGCTCTGGACACCCCAGCAGATCAACAAGCTATGAAAATGTTGAGAAAGTGAAGAAAATTGTTATGGAGAATCGTCGGATCACTATAAGAGAAGTTGCTGAAGATGTCGGCATATCGGTTGACTCATGCCGTCCCAATGAAAGAGCCCAGAGCCCAAAACGCCACGCCAAGTTCAATCAAATGTCAATGCTTGTTCGAAATTTTTCGACCAAAAACAACAACCAATACTCAGCATTGAAGATATCCAAGAAAGGACTGCGTTTTACGACGATTGAGGAAATGAAAACCGAATAGCTGAAAGTGTTCAAGGACATACCAAAAGTGCATATCAGAACTGCTTCGAGGATTGGAAAAAATGCTGGCACAAGTGTATTTTATCTGATGGAAACTACTCTGAAGGAAAAATATAGAAATTGATAAATAAGTAAATATTCTTTCAGAAAAATGAATATTCATCTTTTTTTTTATCAGACTGCGTATAAGTCTAGTCTAATAATTAAATCGTAGAACTTCAGAATGTACTGTTGAATTTTATTATTGAGTTATCTGAAACCTGAATCCTGATTCTTAGTATTACATCTAATATTTACCTCAAAATTGTGAATACCGATAATACATGGAGCAGCCATTTTTCCGGTGAAGAGAACGTTATGCAGTTTCGATTCATTATGAGCATATACATTAGCGCTCAAATCATAATTATTTATTTCATAGTAGTGCATTCCCAAACGGGCAGCTAGACAAGAAACCAGCAATCTTTTTCCACTGCCAGCATTCCCTACCATCAAGAAGGCTGGATGTAAGTTAACTTTTCCTAGAAAACACAAGTGTATTAGTAATTCATTTCTAATAGTATTTTCACATTAACATTTTCAAAAACTACCACTTTCTGGATTCTTGGATAATAAATAAGTGTTAAAGCAGCCACGAGTTCCAGTTATGGATTTGTCGGACCTACGCGCGAGACCCGATAATTAATCAGATGATTCCAAAATGAGGATCAAATTCGTGGAAGGCCATGAATTTATTCAATTATTACAGAAACTCCGTCATCTTGAAAATTGTCACGAATATCAGAAAGTCATCAGAATTTGTCGGACAGAAAATCAACCCCCACACCGAATATACCAATTTTCGAAAAAAAATTGATAATTCATTCAAATAATTCGTTGATGGGGATTTCTTCTTTATATATATTCATTTTAGCATGCAGAATAAGACCCCTATGCCGAAATATGTTGTCGGGCAGAAAATCGACCCTCTCCCCGACAATAATAATTTTCAAAGAGAAATCCATAATCCTTAAAATATTTCATAGATGGAATTTTTTCTTTAAATGCATTCATTTTGATATACAGAACAAGACCCATGTGTAGAAATATTTGGTCGGGCAGCATCCACCCCGTATATAACAATTTTCACAGAAAAATTCATAATTTCTTCAAATCTTTCGTGGATGGGGATTTTTTTTTCATTTGTGTATGTTCATTTTGACGTACCATAGTTACTCGCAAAGAATGAAGAAATTATGTTTTTGGCAAATACAAAGAAAATTTTTCGATAGAACTAAGAGTTGACTTAAATAATTTGAGGATTTTGAAGGATTATACAAAAAAGTGACTAACATATTTTGCTGTGAATTACCTACTGTTCATTATCTTTGACAAAAATTATATCCCGATGAATTCATATTCTTTTAACAAAAAATTAAGATTACGTCATAATGCATTGCATGAATGATATAGATTCGATTTTTTGGCGAACTTTCTCCTTATCATAATAGTTTTGAATCGCGACCATTGGGTCTTAATAGTGGCCGATATGCAGAAAATCCAATTTATATACATCAATCCTAAGCACAATAATATTTTAAAAGACACTGAAAATTGTAAAGAAAAATTCCCGATATTTCTACAAAAATATAATAGGTATCACTAAAGAAAAACATATCTGGGAATAGAAATATTTAAATTTGAAACAGAGACAAAAAGGCGGTTATAATTATGGAGTTTACGTCATACGATTATACTTTTTCATGATAATTTTGACTCCCTGATAAGTCATCTAAAATGGCCCTTTTCAGAAACGATTTGATGGGGATAGTTTAGCTGCTTTCGTGATAATTTTGTACTCTATTACAGAATTTTTTGCTCTTCATTCAATGGAGATGTCGTGGATTCTGCTAGCTTAACCACACTATTCTTCTGGGTGGGAAAGAAATATATTGAGAATTAAGGGCTCATTTCAGGCTCCTATGACCCTCTATTTCCGACTTTTGATGTGTTTTTTTTTATGTTCAAACAATTACAATATATGGTAATTGTTTGAAAATGTCCTTATAGGACGAAACTGCAGCAACAACATTAGTTACAAATAAAAGTGGTAAAAAACATAGAAAGTTTTATTTCTCATATTTCATGATGATCTCCTACCACGTAGTAACAACAGCTGCATCTATCAAAATATTGTAGGGGTCAGACATTTTACGTGGATGAATAGTGGTTTGCTCTATGAAGCTAGCTGGATACGATAGATCAAGTCGTAAATCTCTATGGTCACCAAGCAAGGCTTCAACTTGGTACTTCTTCGTTGGTTAGTACAACAACAAGACATCTCCTTGATTGAATTCTTGACCGTGGTTTTTTGTTTAACATCCATAGACATTGTCTTGTAAACTCGTGTACTTTTTCCAACCACTTTCTGATATCCTCGATGAACTCATGCGTTTTCTAGGTGTTATTAGTAGGTCTAATGGTAGTTTCATTTCCTATCCGGTTATCAATATCGACTAATAAAAGCCGGTGGTGTACTTCGCTCCTTTATGCCATAAGAAATATTGGTACTACCTTTTTCCAATCTTTCTGATCATTCAACTGTTTATTCAATTTCTATTTTCACAGGTTCTGTGATCCCTTTCATGTCTTTCATGAACTGTATTGTCGGACTAAACACTTTTCTCATTCTCTCGATCATGCCAACTTCTTGTTGCTAGAAATATTTTAGAAAGTCGACCTTTTCTCCTTTTTCAAGTTGTCTCAAATACTTCTTTTTTTTTACTTTCTTATTATTCCAATAATCTTAACAGAACCTCTTGGTATTCTTCTTTCATTTTCCCTTCCTTTTCTTCCTCTTCTATTATTTCTTGTTATCCCATCGTAATTATCAGTTCTTATATTCACCGTATACATGAAATCTTCTCTCTTCAATACCATTATTTATTCCACCCGTATTGCCAATGTAGATTCTTCAATAATGAAAATAAAATAAATAATAATTTCAAATTATCACGTCCTACGTCAATAATACTTTATAAACTATTGAATTTATTTTACTTATATCAACTATTACTTATGATTCCGTCCTCTCTCTAGAAAATGATTCATTATATGATATTCGAAATTGCTATTAAATATACCACAATTTGACGCTCAGGTGTATTCTTAAAATACTTCGCGTTCATTGGATAACCCTGACTCATTGCCATGCTGTGGATCTAATGACATCAGGCACGTGATGTTATTAGATTTATTTTAGGCCGGAGCCGGAGGTTCCATTTTTGAGTATCAAAGTATCTTGTATGTGATGGCCGTTTATAGATATTTTTATTAATGTAATGTGAACAAAAATGTTTTACTTACTTTTCCTTAAAAATGGGAGAAGTGCTACCTGCATGTTTTCCAGATGATCTGATAGTCCGTAGGGACATGTTGGAATTTCCTTAATGACTCCTCCTTCCTGTCCAACGAATTTAGTTGATTTCTTTGGTAGAAAACTTTGAATATTATTACTCTGCTTTACTGCGGTCTCACCAATTACACAATAACAACTCTTGTCTATATCTACATTTCGATACATTACCCTATTACATTTGAAATAAATATTATGGACATTTTTTAGTTTGCTATTTAGAAAATATAGATCACTGGCAAAATATTTCACATTGATTGATATTATATCCTCTTTATTTATTAATTTAGGGGTTTTGAAATATCTCTCTAGAATTGAATCAATTACTGAATTATTTATATCAAAAGGTGAGTTTATCAAGGAAATATTGATTTCATCTGCAAACGTGACATTACTGCAATGAATGTTTAGTAACCGGAGAGGAAATCTGAATCCACTATTTTCCAAGTTGTAATACAAATCATCAGCAACTAGCAAGGTTTCAGTATCATTGCCCTCTGTGGCTGGAACAACATGAACGTATCTGCTGCATCTGTTTTCTTCAGAAAATAATCTGAGAATTTTATCACTTTTATACACATTTTCTTTCTGCACTATAACGATATTATTAACATCATTACAATTATTATTGGATTTTATAAAATGTCTAATAACTTCATCTGATACAGACTTCAATTTGTATTTAATTTTTCTTTTCACTATCCTAGAATACAATATATACATATAAAAGATGAACCAGAATGGATGATACTTAGGATAGATTGTCCTCAAGGTAGAGAAGAGAGCACTAACATAGCGATCGTATTCCAATTTCATTTCTGCTTTGACTATTTCATCTGCAAAAAAGTAGATTTTGTCAAACAAACATATCTATAAAAACTGAAAAAGATTAGGTCAACGCAAAATACCAAACTCAAAAATATTTCTAGCAAGTAACTTCTATAGATTTGTATTCAGAGTAGACTATCGATAGGGCATAAGTGCCAGGGAAAGAACTTTTCGCAAAACTCGATAAACTCAATTTGTTCGTAATCATCTGAGCGATGTCATTCCCCAAATTTTTAATGGGATTGGGGTAGAATTGTGCCACATTGAAAGGACTTTCGGTTGCCTACTCATTGCTTTTTCGCTTTTAAAAATTTGTTCACTCGTTTAGAAGATACGGAGCTTTAAAATGGCAACAATACGTTTTCCCAAAAATGTGAAAATCAAATAGGTTTCATTTGAAAACTTATCATATTATAATCGACTAAATGACATATAATGCAATACAATAATGTAGGTTATCTTTGAATCGTGAATTTTCGAGTACTGCTGAGTGTCACTTTGCATATATTGATTTGCCCTCGCAGATCTTCCAGCGAATCAGGTAATGTGCCATACACTTCTTTCTTCGTGTGAATTCACAAGAAGTATGAAGGACTCAAGTTGGGTGGCCGCAGAAGTCCTTAGATCTTTACCTCAACGTCAAAGCATGTCATTTAAATTATCAGTTAAATTTTGTTAGTGATGTTGAGGAACACGGCCTTGTTGAAATATCCTTTCGTCTTCTAGGTACGCAGAATCTAACTCTACATTAGTAAGAGCTGGGTCAATATCATTTTGGAGTAAATCCAGTTACATGTTACCCGTTGAATTTCCAGAAAAAAAAGGAATAAGAAAAAAATTTACAAAAACACCACCCCATACGATCCACTTGTTACGGTTTTCTATGTGTGTCGAGTGGATAACCCCGAGGTTGTTATCGGCACAGTAATGAACATCGTGAAGAATAAGTATACTGTTCAAAAATAAAGTACACTCGTCCAAGAACACATATTAGAAAGTTACCATAATTTTATGAAATTGAAAGTAGCGATCAAAGTCGTCTTCATTCAGTTTTTCACCAAGCAAATGGACATAACTTGGGTTTCTTTAGTGTTCGCAAACACCGATTCACATCCGTTGCAGTGGCCAATTTTCTTGTAAAGTGTGTTTAATTAGGCTCTTCCTATCTTCAAATTTGTATAAAAATAAGTGTGTGTGAGATATCATCGAAATTTTTTATTCGTTTGAAAGACCTATTGATGCCACAGGGTTCTATTTTGGGACCCTTTTTCTTTGCTTGCTACAAATCTCAACTTGCTAAATGTTTAGAATTTTGTAATATACATTTATATGCAGACGACACCCAGTTGTATTATAGTTTCTCACTGGAAATAATAGATAATGCGTGCACTCAAATTAATAAAGACTTAAAATATACGTGTGATGCACTGTTTAAAACCGTTAGTGTAGTAATGAATATTACTGGAGTTTTAGCCCAACACCAAACCGTTATTTTTAACACTTCGACAGGTGTTTCAGTCACCAAATGATCATCTTCAAGAGGAAGATTAAACTAAAATATAAATTGTAGTGAATCAAATATTGTTTTCGGACCGAAAAGCTCTAGAAATGATATTTACAAATCTGTTACAATAGTAGTAGTAAATGATCATGCATTTGAGGTTGTCCCAGAAGTGAAAAACCTAGGCGACATTTTAGATATGGACTTGANGCGAAATCGACTGCCTTGAATTCTCCTGTACACCCTCTCAGACAGTGGCGGTGTTTTCGGTAGATATTACGTTTCGTCGACGTACGGGTGTTGATCGATCGTTCACTGAACCAATGGACTGAAATTTATCCACCCCATCGCGACTAGTGCTCTCGGTAAATTGATTATGACGACTGTAAAATGAGCAAAGCGCGTGGTACGTTGCCCGAACAGAACACCTATTTTGATAAATCACTTGTTGTTGAATCCGTCCATGGTGATTTGGCAAAACAGACTAAACAACTAATTTGACAACAATTCAACAAGATGACCGCTATCAATTGTCAAAGTTTAGAAGTCCCTGATGGAAGACCCGTTACTAAGCGTTCTATCCCTTATATACTATTGTAACAATACTGCCTACCTATATTGTACCCATCTAGTTTCGCGAAATTTAGCTAAAAATTAGTAATGCAATTAGTAATGTCAGAATGCAAATAATAGCTCATGTACCCAATTTTAACATTCATTATTTTTTAAAATACAGTCAATAATTTCCACCCTTTCCGGAATTGAGTATTCCATAGTTGATTAATATCGAAAGTTGTGAAACAAATTTTTGAATTTCACCATGAATCATAAGACAGGCTATATAACTTAAAGTAAGCAAAATCGATACCCGCCGAATGGCAAAAACTGCAAATGTTCTGAAAGATTTTTTTTTCAACACTCAGATTAATAAGTACGATAAGTTTTCATTTGGAATTCTGCATGCTGCAGAAACCGTATGCATTTCAAAGCTCTTTATCTTCCTAACGACTGGATCGAGTTGAAGGGCATGAAAATATAGCAAAAATCATATCATAAATAGACTTTGTATACCTATATGATTGAGATGTTATTTCTGAAGGTTGATTCAACAAGACAGACATCATGTCTGCGTTATACAGGTTGTTTAAGGGGTTGAAAATAGGATGATTTTGTACACACACACAAGAAAAATAAAATATCACTAAAAGCGTATGTGTATATGAGAGATAATTTATTCCTGGAATCAGAAAGTTCCAAGTTGTATAAGGGACACGGACGTGTAATGTTCATTCCGTTAAATCAACTTTTCGTGAATAATGATATCTTTATATAATAGGTGTGGGTACAAAGTCAATATTGAATGATATGTTTTTGGGAAAGAAATGTTTTGTTTGACTAGTAGTTTGTGCTCAAAACTGTTCGAGAAAATTATTTTTTGTATAATTCAGTGTTCATATAAAAGTATTTGTTTCGAAAGTATTTTTCTTTCGTGTAATTCAATGTATTTATATGAAAGTAGCTGTTTCAGGAAGGCTTTCTATTCCAGTTTGTGTAACCCGAATTACAGCCAGGATAATATATGACAAACATCCAATAAAAGATCTGTTAGAATGATTGTCGTGACACTTGACAGAAATGAATTAGTTGAACGACTTCCAAGCAGCACAAAACCTACTGTCAATGTGTGGTGCAAATAAAGACATTTATGGGAAAATTGCGTGGCAAGTTATTAGATGCCTTTTGTACATCGGTCACCGATGTAAATTGAAAATAAACCTTGCAGGTCGGCAGAAATTCTTGCAGGTCGGGTCTGCCAGACATGAATCTCGACCAGGTTGATCATTTTCAACAAAAAAAATTACACCACCACCCTTTGAGTATGGAAAAATTCCAAATTCCTCTTTAAATTGAAAATAAACCTTGCAAGTCGGCAGAAATTCTTGTAGGTCGGGTCTCCCAGACATGAATCTCGACCAGGTTAATCATTTTCGACAAAAAAACTTCCAACCCCCACCCTTTTAGTATGGAAAAGTTCCATATTTCTCATTGAATTGAAAATAAACCTGCAGGTCGGCAGAAATTCTTGCAGGTCGGGTCTGCCAGACATAAATCTCGACCAGGTTGATCATTTTCAATTAATTTATGAATTTGCTCATCTTTGATCAGCCTCACCGAAGGTAGTGAGTTATGAATCTGGTCAACTGTGATTCATGCGAAGTTGTGAGATATAGTTCATTTTGCCTACTTACCAAAGAAGAAATGCTCACATTGTTGACGCATTTTTCAATAGTCATAGAAAAAAAATATTTCCGCCGTTGTTTAGTTAAACTTGAAGTCACAAATAGGTACCTATAGATATTTCAGTATTCAGTATGTCGAGATAAATGCCAGTGTCTCTGGAATATTGAGTAGTAACATCGAATTCTAGAACAGAAATCTAATTACATTACTAATATATTTTATTCATACATGGTCAGAATGAATTACCTAGAACTGAGTGATATCACGCTAACGATTGACCCAGGTCGATTATCATGTTTTTTCAGGAAATGTGACATTTGAAAATTAAAGTTTAAAAGTTCATTATAGATTTTTATTGATCAAATGTTCATTTTTAGTTATTTGAGATTATTGATATCAAAAAAGTGTTATTTATGAGTGACATCAATACAACTGGTTTTTTTACGGTTAATGACAACGACGACCTTGGAAATGTATTCTGTATCAATAACAATTTGTAAATAGTGTAGGTACTTACTACTATAACAAATACTGCAGAGAATTAGGTAGACTTTTTACCAGTTAATGAGCTTTAGCTTATTTTGGATATTATTTTTTTGAAAAGCATAGAAAAAATTAACATGAAAAATTGTTCGTTTATTACAGAAGTAAAACTAAGAGATTAGTTCTGCGTTATCTACACTATTTCTTATCACTTGGGTTAAAGGTCATCGTTTTTGTGCAGTAACTGATCTTTCAGGAAATACAATTTAATGTACAAACACAGGCAAAAGCAATTACAAACATTTACAATGATAGAAGTAAGTATTTCCATTTTTTTTTTAATAAAATAGAAAACGCTTCAGATAGAATGAAAATCTAAAATGGTTAAAAATTCAAACGTTCATTCTCTTGGGAATCGAAGGTACATATATTGAGTTCGTTCAAAATCCTGATAATACCAAAATCGCTGAGAGTCTACTAAAAGTGGCAACAATGGATATCACCACGGCGATGTACTACATGAATTTTGTTGTTACCGAAACGCGTGTTGCATAACTTACAGACCTGTACAAAATTAAAGTGAAGTAGTTGAGACACGGAACAAAGGATTCAAAATGATTTTCAAAATAGTTGTACCCCTATTAGTCTGCAATGTTTACATTATTTACATCATTGATGAAGCCCTTTCACTCAGGTCATCCCTGTTGAAGAAATGAGACTCAACAAATGGGACACTAGTACGACAAGCTTGATAGAAATACAATGTTTTTCTAATTTGCCAAATATTAGAAATACTTACAAAAACGTGGATAAATAGGTACATCGGGAACAAGTCAAATGGCAAAGACAGACGTTGGAAAAATAACAGATGAAATACCCATTATTAATAGAAATCGTATTATATTCAGTAACAAAAACAAGATAGTAAAAACGAAAGTACGATTTTGGCACTCTGTTATTGTGATTCCTTCTTGATCTTTCAGATGCCTGTTACCGGACGACTAGACATAGCCAGAAACTGAGCACATTCAGTTAGTATAATATTGGATGGAAGTATACATTCAATATTATACCTTACTCATCCTTATAGATGAGTTCAAACCAACTAAAGAACACCATCCGCTTGACTGAACCTATTTTAATTCCAATTAGTATTTTGATAAATTTCAAAAGATCTTTATTTTTTAATCAAAAGTGTTAATTTACTGTATGAAAGGAATTACTCACCGGTATTCATTTTGTCACATTAATTTTCTAAACTAACAAAAACACTAACGAACTTCTCAAAGTACACACTCACAATATCTACTCAAAAAGTGAGGTTATTTATCATTTCTGTACTGTTGGTTAAAGTCTATCTGATATTTCCTTGAAATGTGGTATCAATCGGAGTTGTCACATTTCTACCATCAGAAAAATCAATTGTTTTAGTCTGGAATAAGAGTTCTATCGATAATGAATATAAAATAAACAGCAAGGAATGAAATTATATTATGTGAAAGGTATGCGTTGAAGTTACATTTTCTATATTGTTTTACTCATCGAACTCTCGAATTGGAATAAATATTTCAATTTGGTTTTTGGTGCAAAATGTAACTCTATCTTTGAGTTCCACAGGTTTCACACTTACTTTTTATAAGAACTAAGATGAAATTTTCTGAAACCATATGTACCTACCTACCTACTAACATTTTTCTTAGAATTTAAAGTTGAATATATCAGTAAAAGGAGAATTGAAACTTTCTATGTTTTTACCACTTTCATTTGTAACTACACTAAACTACATACATTAATGTATAAATTTGAAAATGTCCTTATAGGGCGAAACTGCAGTAACCTTAGTTACTGCAGTGGTAAAGAACATAGAAAGTTTCAGTTCTCATTTTTCATGATGATTTCCTACCACGTAGTAATGGCTACATCCATCAATTTATTGAATATATCAGTGTTTATCAAATTGAACGAGTCAACATGCCTAAAATTGAATCAGTCAACAGACTTGAAATTGGTAGCCTATTTTCATTAGAGACTTCTTCAGGTCGACCAGCATTGATCTATTTGAAAAGTGAATTAACAATGTATTATTGAAACGAACAAGAAATGTGGCTATTACTCGTGAGAAAAAAGTTTGCCCTTTTCACATAAATCACTCGAGGGAGTATTGGCCATTTCTCTCGAGTAGAATATATTCTTTTTCTATGACTTTTAACAGGAATATAATACATGATATTCATTTGCATAGGATAATTCGAATCAAAGAAATATACCATTAAATTTCATAAGAAGCAACAAAAAAAAATCGAAAATGTTAACTATATATTTGTTATTTTGTTCAATTGCAAATGAATTGAATACCAAGAAGCAGTTTTAAGTTTCTATAGTATAGTATAGTATAATATCTAGTAGGCACTAAAACTCCGTATAGAGTTTAATGATCAAAATATTTATATGAGTCATCTCGGAGAATAGGGCGCAAACTCTCATATCGAAATGTTTTGAAATGAACAGGGAGAAAACACCCTCTGTTCGTGCTCATTCAACAAGGAGTGCGTGCCTTTCTTTTAGCCATTTCCTGCGAATCACTAGTATATTTTTCAGTGGCCGGTATCCGATAAATTCGCGTATTTTGAGTGACTCTTCGCGTTTTGATTTCACATGGTGACTGTTTCAAAAACGATAGTGAAAAATAAGTGGTACTTTCTGGAGTTTTCATAAGAATTTGAGGTATCATACTTCAATTAAAAACAAATGTTCACTAATGTTTTCTAGGAAGGTGCATACAGAATGATAAGAAACGCACTTCTGAAATGTGCTTATATGTTTTGTTAGAATGAAACATTTGAATATTATAATAACAAATGAAAGTCAAAAAAAAAGTTGATAATTTTTCAGATTCCTATCAAATGCTAAATCGAAAGTACACGAGCTTCTTCATTTGAATTCAGAATTTTTTACTCATGTATGTAACATTTTAGTAGACAAAATTAGCCTTAGTATGCAAAAAAATGCCCTATTTGCAGACAAACCAACTTTTAATTGCAATAAAGAATATTTCAAATTGTGAATATCAATAGTTGTGCTCATATTTAGAAACAATAACATTTGATGGCCCATAAAAGATAAATTCAGTTGTTTTTACTAGTACAATACTGGAGGAAGGCAAAGAAAACCAGATTTTGAAAGTTTTAAATATGTAAAACTAAGCACTAACTTGAGAGAAGTATTTTGAAACTATATCATGAATGTTATTGTCATATCATATGAGATACAATACGATCTTCAATCTCCTAAAAGATTAATCTTCTCTCTATATCGACTTTTCTGGGGATTTACCCCTTCCATAATCTGAAAAAAATGAAGAGCGTAGGAAGAACGAAATTTTCAGTTCACCCCAATTAATTACTGTGTAAATTTAAAATAAATTTCACCAAAAAAATTTACTATTTATCAATCACTTGTCTTATTTGATAAATTTGCTTATCAATATGAGGGCTGAGAAATTGTACAGATACTTATCTCTACATTTCGGAAAACGGATGCAAATTTTGGCCCTCAAAACGTTCCATAAGAATGTCTATGATTTTTCAGCTCCTTTTTCGAAAAACAAAATTATTAAACACGATTAACTGATGAATATGTATGTATGTTTTCTGGGATTACATTGAATTTACGTAGTATATAACATTTCGCCCTTTCTACACCTCTATGAAGTTCAACATTACATTTTTTATTTTTACCAAATTGTAGGAGGAGAAAATTCTGAAAAGGATCGATAAAAACTCTGAATTTCCTCTACAAAAATTACTTTTGCTCAATATGATTCTTCAAATTTTACTTTTTTTAACAGCCAGATTCTTATTTTTTGTCTGTTTCATATTTGACTGGGAAAAAACAAGTGTGATTCAAACTCATTAATACAGTTTAATGTATGTTTTTGTAAGGGTCTTACAAAAACCGCGACACCTGTTTCGCTATACAATAGCTGTCTCAAGCGTTAATAATAAGTTAGAAAGTAGGCAAACAAGTAGGTAATAGGTATGTTAGAGTATGAAATAGTTGTAATTTAGAAGTAATTTATACAATTAACGTTCGAGAAAGCTATTGTTCAGCTAAACATGTATCGCAGTTTTTGTAAAACCCTTTATAGTGAAAATCATACAAAAAACTGTATTAATGAGTTTTAAAATAGATTTTCATCAAGTATCGGCCAGTTCTATTCAATTAAGAGTGATTCAACTCAATGTGAAAATCTATTGTTTTTTATCCAGAGAAATTGAGACCAATAACAAGTTGTCATTTTGTTTATAAGTGTTTATGCTGATCTCCGATGGCTTTCTAGCAAAATGCTTCTCGAATAGGTATTGTATTATAGTTTTTCAATAAGCCTGTACGAACTTCTGTGTTACGATATAATAATTCTCACACGTCCTCTGTTGTCTGTCAGTTACCTGTTATGTATATCTATTATCTATATCGGAAGAAATTATTTTGGAAATTGATTTGATACAACTTAAAAACACTGTAGGCCATTTGTCAAAAATTAATAGCAAAACTAGCTTTTACTGATGAATGTAGCCTATTTTCAATATAGGTACTTGTTTCATCAAAATTGATAACAGAAGCGGCTGAATGATATGATATTATAATATTCTACGCGCAAAATGTTAACAATACTCAAAAATTCCGTTGCAAAATCTTAACCATTGAAGGTGGTTTCGATGATTTAGGGAAGAGGTGATTAATTTTTGAAAATGATTCGTTAAAACTGGGCTCACTGTGAAGGTCAAATGTCACATACTTACAAGGCATACAGTGACAACTATTGACTTTAATAACTGAAAGCGAGAGTTGCTGAAGGTCATGACATTCTCAGAGAATATAATATCCTTTAAGATTAACTGCACCCTGTATATATAAATGGTAAGATAGAGTTCAGCTTGGTAAACAATCGGTGCCAGCAAATAATGTGTAAATGTTGAAGATAGCAAGGCATTTCGAGGAATATATCTCCAGTCTCTTCACTTAGACAATTGAGCAGTATCATAGTTCAAAAGTATCAGTAGGAGACCAAAGCAGGCGTCAATAATCTCGAAAGAATACAAAAAAAAACTATTTTGAACTTTGTTTGGAGTCCTGTCATTTTATTGGTGAAACGATTTTTTCTAAGATATTTGGCATTTCATTTATTTTTTTATGATGATATTTTCAACTTCTGTTGGGAAAAAAATGATATCAAATGTTCTAACTCCACATAATCTACATGAATGCCTCTAATATGTTTTGTTCATTTCAGTATGAATTTCCTTCAATTTTTTAACCTCAGAATTGGAAAGACGGTAATGGATATGTCGTAAAATACAGTGCGGATGTAAATAGTCCCTCCCATCTTGACTTTTGAACGGAAGAATATATCAAAGTCGTACAAATTTCACTTGAGAAGGCTTCATTTTTACTACTCTTTGAAATAGAAGTCATTAATGTTGCATCACTCATCGCCGAGAGAACGCTATCAACTTGTTTTTTTTTGAAATGTGATACTTCGTTCAATAGGTAATTTAATTCCCTATGCAACATTATACACTTTCTGAAATGGTTCAACCATTCCTAAGTGATTAGCAGTTTTATCTTCGTTTTGAACATCTGCAAGCAAACGATATCATAATTTCAAGAGAAAAATGTATTAAAAATTAATACTAATTTATTACAATATTCGTTTGAGATGATTACTATTCACTTACTGGAAAATTTATATTTTGCGTTATGAAATGTTTCTAGGGCAATTTCGTTGCAAGCACTTTTTTTCTATATACGGGTTCAAACCAGCCTTTCGTAATGAGAACGAAGCTCATCTGGCTGGAACGTAACATCAGCTGCAAAATGCACTCTGTATAGGAGCTCCAGTAATACTACTGTGTATTTCGGTCTCGTGAAAAGCTGGAGCTCTAAATTCTTCCTAATCATCATTTTGGCCAATGATATCCAAAGTAATGTATCTGAGAAAAGTGTTTAACTCCAATTTATTGTAGTTAATACACCAATCAGACAATGAAATAATCAATATTTACTACTATTATCATCCTTGTGCACCTCTAGTAGGAAAACATTATTTGATTGTATTTCTACACTATATCCTCAGTAATTTGAGAACTCCAAATCATAGTAAAAATTTCAGTATTTTTTATTTTTTCCGTGAAAGTTGAACTGACTGAAACTAATAATGGGCTGTAACACTAGTAAAGACTCAGTGCCTCCAGAAAATGAAAATCAAGAAAATCAAGTTGACGCAACACAAAAAAAGGAGGAATCATCTGCACATAAAAGCGAATCCACCGAAAATCATATAAATGGTANTAAAGAGAAATCAAAATATCTATAAAAAAATA